TTGCCCGCAGGTCGGGAGACGCGGGACGCGGGAGCGGCGAGGACAGAGGCGCCCGCCGCAAGTTTGCAGGGCGGCCCCCGCAGCGGGAGCGGCTGAGGCGCCTCTGCGAAGCCGCCTCTCAGGACCAGTCGCACTGCTGCTCCGGGTCCGTCCGCCCAGGCGCAGGCACGCAGACACACACTCGCACACCCAGGCTGGCACCGCCACAACCCGCCAGCCGGTGTGACAGGAGCCCAGCTACCCGCAGCAAAAACCTGCCCTAGGTACGGAGCATGCGCCAAATCCTTCTCCAGCCCGGGAGGAGTTTCCAGGGGAGGAGTCCGCAGCTCCGCGGGGCTTGAGGAGGCACTGGGGGTGGGAATTCCTTCAACCAAGAGAAAGAAGAGATTTGGGATAAAGGAAAAGGTGGAGCGTAAAGAGGCCCAGTATGAGTCGGAATCGACTCGACTCGACGGCACCCAACAATAACAACAACAACAAAGAAGCCCGCAGGAGCGAGTCGCTGGCGCTGATCCGAGACCTCTCAACAGTCAGGTTTCTCGATCTGAGAGTGGACAGAAGCCTGGCCGGCCTTATTTGCAGAGATAACACCTGCACACCGCCGCCGGGAGATCTAGACCAGATTCCACAAAGGTTGGCTGGTCCCTTCTCTGCAGGGGAAATGGCTCCACACTGCTTTTAATTTCTACCCAAGACATTTTGACTGGTGCTCAAGTTTTTTATTTTTTTCTCCCGGTCCTTTCTTAACTACAGACTTGATGTGTCCAACTCTACAACTTTATTCGACCAGCATCCACCCGTGAAGTATCCATTAAGTGCCCACTGTGTATCAGGCTCTGCATTTAATGCACACTGCTTTCTCTCCAGCACTAGACAGACGGACTCACAACCATGCAGTCAGTATTTAGAAGGTAAGGGGAGTTTAGAGGTCACCTCCAAAAATTCATCCTACTAATATGCATTGAGCTCCTAAATATGCAAGACTCCCTCCCTCTCCTCAGTGGGGAAGATCTACACATATCTGCTTTTCATAAGTTAAACAAGCTCCTGTTTGTGTGCAGACGTTTTTGAAAACTTTATAGCATCTAAATTTTGCGTTTACCTGAGAACCCAATATCTGTTTAATAACAATTTCTGTTTTTCAGATAATGGATGTTCCATTAAATTGGAGTTAACTGCCCCTCTACAATCTTTTAACTTGACTGACCTATTTTCCAAGTGGAGGGTAGTAGTGTGTTGAGAACAACGCAGTGTGAGTCCCTGGCCCAGGCCAGCATGTCCTCCTGGCTATCCTGCCAGTCCTAGTCCACCACACGTTGCATTCCAGGCCTTCATAGCAGCCAGCCTTCCCACCTGACCGCTTTATGGATCCGTGCAGTACTAGTCTCTTCCTGAGACATTGTACTATCTTTTTCATATCAGACTGTCCCTTTTGCAGCCATCGGTTGAGATCTGGGTCTCCTTCCAGATGCTAAATCCTGTCCATAGAGAGTTATTTTTATTGTTCTAGACAAATGGGATTCCTCTCAACAAAGCTTCCCCCCTTTGCTTCCTTTCCTGTATTCAACTCTCTAAACAACCACAGAACAGGCCCTTCCTGATACATTTTTGAGCCTATATTGTTAGCAAGAAAGGTGTGGAGTAAGATGAATCAGCTTCTTTAAAGCTTATTTGATCCTGTTTCTCTCTCTGTGTGTCTGTCTCTCTCTTTCTCTCTCTCTCTCAAGTTTAAAATCCTATTAATGCCATGGCACTACTTTCCAAAGCAAGAAATTGTAATAGTACAAAAAAACCAATAAAACCCAACAATTATTTCCTGAATGCACCTGGTTAATTGTGTTACTTATTTTAAAAAAAAAAAAAAAAACCCTTTGCCTTAGCCAAGTATACCTTTTTATATTACCTAATTGGAGAAGTTTCTCATTTTCTATAAAATCAAGTGGTATTGCATGAATTCATATAACCTTGTTAACTACGCAAATGGATAACCTTCGTAGTGGTGGTAATTTGTATAGTAGAAAGTGCTTTCCTAGCCATTGTCTCATTTGTTCCTCAAAATAACACTCTAAGGAGATAGGACAAGTATAATATCCCATTTCAGAGATGGGGAAGCTAAACCAAGGAAAGCTAGGTGAAAGCAGAGCCAGGATTAGAAACCACTAACATCCCTGAAATATATTCACATCACCACTGAAGAAATCCAATGGACATCAAAACCAGAGCTCATAATTTGCTCTCTCTCCTCTCTTGAGAGACCCTTTTAGTCAAGAGGCAGGAAGAGACAATGGAATCTCAACAGAACAATTAAATTATTTCCCCTCTCCTTCTGGCTTTCTAAGCAAAGCTGAGCAATCTCTACATCCTGCAGTATTTTGGCACCTAGTCTGTGGGTTTCCAGATAAACAGGGGAAAGACAATAATAATCTTAAGATAATCATCTCATTGTTAAAAGAGAAATTTTAGTAGAATTTCAGAAGAAAATATTATAACAAGTATAACAGCTATGTTGCTAACAAAATGTAGGTTTCAGTAAGTAAATTCACCTTTAAGCCTTTTCAAAGAACATTATCCCAGATGATCTATTTTTGTTTCCAGTAAAATATCTAATGGATTTCCACCATTTCCTTGAAGTAACCGCAAGGAAAGCAGTGTGTAGAATTAAGGCAATTACACAGATAAGTCAGGCATGTCCTCAAGCATGCATCTATAATGACTGGTAACTTTGGTTGTATAAACACCTCTGTCCCACTCTGGGCTCCCTATTACAGTTGTGGAACTTGGTGTGAACCTAATAAGAGCCCTTAAATCAATGCAATAAATAGGCTCCCTTATCTACAAGGGCAGACCTCACACTCAGGCGAAAATGAATAGAAACTTTCTAAAATTGAATGCTATCCAGGTAAAAAGGAAAAACATGTTTTCATTGAGTCTACTATAGTTACTCCAGGATGACACCAGCTGGCAATTGTTTCTGGCTAACAGATTGCAGCTACTATGATTCCTACACAAATTATTAAAATAATAAAAATAATGTTTTCAAAGCGCTTTCTTCCATTTCCTTTGCCAGTCTAGCATCAGGCCTAACACTATCTGTGAAGCAATTTGTTCGCCTAATTTTATGCCTTAATAAGCTTTACTACAATTATTTTCTCGCCTGATTCTTTCTCTGCCTTAACTTTAGTACTCTTCCTCCCTGTTCTTCTCAAATATCCTCAAACCTGCTAACAACATTGCACTCCCCAGGATTCAAACTTTTGATTGGAACAATCCCCATTTAACCAAGTTCAACTGGGAGATACAATTGCATCTCAACATCTCCATTTACCCTTTGATGCCAGAAACTGTCTTTGAGAATGTTGGGGAAAGCCAGGAGAGATTAACAACCCCAACAATCCCAGAGAATGGTTGGAGATCCCCTACATCTGCACACAGGAAGGTATGGATACGAACGCCCTTCAACAGAAATGGAAAAACAAAACAGGTAATGTAAGTCATTGGCAGCATTGCGGTTCTCCTTCCAGAAGAGAAAGTGCTCTGGAACACTGAAATGCTTTCTGTTTTTCTCCATTTTTGTAAACAAACCAATAAAAAAAAAAAAAAAAACCCTCGAGTAAGAAGTATTACAAATAACCAGAAAAACTGTAGTTTTCTTTTTCTGGATGAAGTTAAGCAGAAGAACTGGTGTAGTCAGGGCAAACTTCAGAAAGAATGGTGATATATATTGACTGCATTCCAGTTTACTACATGATTGTAACTGTGGGGTGTCCATGACCCTACATACTGCTTACTGTAAAGCTCTATTTATGTGAACAGTCCATTCTTTGCTTTATTGTATAACAGAACACATCCACCATAGATGGTTTCCTACGAGTGATGAATGGAAACTCTGCCATCTCTACACGTAATGTGTTCATTAACTCAGAGTAGTATAAGTAAATGTGCTAATCTTTTCATAGCAGATATCCACTCTTTTCTTAAAAAAAAAAAACAAAAAACTTGTTGAGCACTTACTGTATACTAGGCTCTGTTCTGAGTGGATTCAACATTAAACAAGATAAAGAAAGACCCTGTCCTCAAGTATCTTACATCCCAGCAGCAGAAAAATAAACAATGAAGAAGTAAATAAGATTCATTCCTTTATTTAATCCAAAAATACTTATTCAGCCCCTCCTATGTGCCGGGTATTTTGAGGCTGTTGGTACACCTTACTGAGCAATAAAGGCAATCATTTTTGCCTGGGAAGGGTTTAAATGCCAGCAGGGTAAAGAGAAGGGCAGACGTCAGATGCAGGGATGCAGA